GCAAGAATAACATAGAAGAAAAAAAAATATATCTATGTAAAATGTGAATTTTCTATATAAAAATAACAGTGTAAGATGACGTGTTAGCCGTGTAAAATGGTTGACTTTTTACAAAAAAGAAATATACAGTAAAAAACATATGTTATATTAAAAAAATAATTTTTTTAAATATAAAAATTGAAATATTGTTACCGTGTAATTCATTTTTTTAATGGAAAAAAAATAAAATATTGATTTTAAATAAAAATGAAGTATATTTTTTAAAAAAATTATACAATGAGGTAAATGTAAAATATTGTTTTTCATGAAAAGGGGTATTTTGAATTATTAAATGAGGCATTTTTAAGTTTTTTGAACAAAAGTAAGCTATTTGTGAAATTATCCCCACTCCCCAGCAGCATATGCTGCCTAATCCTAGGGTAAACTTGTATTTCAACCTGGCTTCAAGTAATCAAGTTTAGCCTTAGAGCTTAATTTATGATAATTCATTGCCTTTTGGGTAACTCTATTAGTGGAGGAGAATATATAATTTCCACATAACCATGGAAACACTTAAAAATATTTGCTCAAATAAATGAATATAAATCTATGTGAAACGAATGAAGTAGACCAATCTATTTATCTAATTGGAAAACTGTGTTATCACACAGAGATAAATCTAGCCTTCAAGCCGCTATTCTCACATGCCCCAGGGAATGTGACATGTCTAGAGCCTATCGACCATAGTTATTAGACCCGACTTGAATATCGACCCAGACAAGGTACTGGGTCTCGGGTTACTGGTTGAACTGGTGGGTCAATAGTCGGACCAGTGGATCATTGCATAAAAATCTATAAAATAAAATTAAAGTATAAAAATTTTTGTAGGCAAAATTATTTTTCGCTAATTATTTAGAAAACATATATATGATTCATTAGATACATATAACTTATTGCACATAAAAACCATTGATGTACTCTACAACTCCGAAGGTAAATAACTAATTGTTTTACTTTGAGGTCCAATGTTCAATTCCTTGTACCCCAAAATTTTAAAAGACAATTTTAAAAATCGGTAGATCGGCAGGATTAACTTGGTTAAAACCGTCGGTTAACTTGGTCAAAAACAATAACAAGACTGTTTTTGGTCCTAAAAGGCCTAATCTTATGGTGCAAAGGGTAAATTAGTTGTTCGAAGCCTCCGTCGAACGGAAATCACCATTTAGAGTAGAGGTGTCAATCCGGATGGGCCGGATCGGGTCGGCCCGCCAACATATGAGCTCGGTAACGGCTCGGGTGAAAAAATCCGCCCGCTACTGGCTCCGGGCTGTTCCAGGTCGGCCCACAAATTTTGGACTACAACCCAGACCCGCCCGCTGACCCATCCGGGTCGAGCCCATACGAGTCACGGTTCGCGAGTCATGAGTCACGAGTCGCAGGTTATTCCAAGAATTTTTTATATTGATAGCAAATTTTTTTTTTTTTTTTTGTTAAATGTAAACTAAAAATTGAATAAAATGATAAATTCATATTTATATCAAAAAA